AACAGTGGTACGTCCCAGCCTCTGAGCAGCACAGCGATGTTTGCAAATAAGGAAGACTCCCCCCAGGCTGCCTGGTGGAGGCTGGAGTATAGGCAGGGGGGTCAGGGAGGGAAGGCAGGGAGGCCAGTGAGGAGGTCGTAACCACTGTCCAGGGGAGAGATGGCAAGGCCTAGATCAGGAAGTAGCAGTGGAGAAGGAGGCATGAATTTAATAGATACAGGAGGCCAAACTGTCCAGGCATGGTGACCAGTGAATGCCAGGTGAGAGAACGGCAAGAGCCAGCAGGACCCACCCTCGCCTCCAGGCCCCTGCTTTGGAAGAACAAGGAGCAAGCAAGTTCTGAAACAGAGAGCTCCAAATGAAGTGGTGCTGCCTGGCAGGTGCTGTCCTCGCCCAGGCCATGACTTCACCCAAGAAGGGGCTGAGGCTGACACGCCGAGCCCTGATGCCCAGCCCAGGCCTGGCACTAGGTGGGTGCTCGGTAGTGGTTGTTGAATGAGTGTGCATCAGTGTGTTGCCAGCTCCTGCCCACAACCAACAGCTCTTCCTGTTTCAAAACAGGTTCTCACTGACTTCCCCCCAGGTTTCTCTTTCCTATCATCTGAGGGGCCTCTGGTCCTCAGCCAATTTGCAGAGCAGAAGAAATGACTCACAGCATGTCCAGGGACTGCTGGGCAGAACGATATGGTGGAGGGAGCATCGAGATGGGAATCCTAAGGCCCCAGTTACAAATGCTGTCAGCTAATGGTAGTAGAAGGCCTGGACAACGGTGGCATAAACAGACAGGTGGTTTCATTTTCCTTTGTTTCTGTAACAAGGCAGCTGTTGGCTTTGGTTCAGCTGCCAACCGATGCTGTCAGGGACCCAGGCTCTTTTTGTCTTTCTGTTCCTCCATTCTTAGCACGTTGCCCTGCATCTTCATGCTGGTGACTTCAAGCTTGCAAGATGGCTGCTGCAGCTCCAGACATCCCATCAGTATTCAAGCCAGGGAAGGGGATAAGACAAAGGGCAGTGTCAGCTGGGTCTCTCATTTTTTATGGAAGAAAAAACATTTTGCAGAAGCCACCTCTCCAGCTGACTTTCACTCACGTCTTATTGGCCAGAACTGTGTGACCTTGGAACCCTAGCTGCAAAGCTGGCTGGGAAAACAGTATTTTGCCTGGTGCTAGGCACACTGCTGCCCTGCACAATACTAGGATTCTATTAGCAGTGTCTGCCTTACTGATTTGAGCTCTAACTCCTGTCCCCTCCTATACCTCTGTTTCCTCCTCCACGAAATAGGCTACTAGTGCCTACCTTGGGGGACGATTAGTGTTACCAGACTCAGGTCCAGCTGCCCGCCCCCTTGAAAAGGAAAGACTCAAAAGTCAAATGGTTGGTGTTAGAAAAGCAGATGTATTCAGCTGAGGGAGATGGTAGGCTACCCCATCTCAAAGATTTACATTTACTGAGGGGTTTTTAAAGGAAGGGTTGAGGGAATGGAATGTGGGAGGTGAAAAGCAGGAGAGCAGATGGGAGTTACGAGGGGTCCATTTCTATGGGTCTGGTACAAGGTCTTGCCAAGGCCTCTCTGGTTTCTATTCTCATCTTTGCTGTTATCTCAGGACCCTGCAAGATTTTGGTTTGTGCCAGTGCACTTGGCTAGTGCCCAAGGTCAGCTTCAGTCATTTGGCCTTGATCATGTCTCAAAACTCTACAAGTCTCAAAGAAAAAAAAAAAACTGTTAGCTTTGCAAAGAAGTGATTAGCTTCTTGGCCTCATTTTCCTACTTAGCGAGCAAGATAAGGAAGTCAGGGGATGGGAACAAAGAGTGGAGAGAAAAAAAATGTCCTTTTAAAAATCCTCCCCACTCTGCAGCCCAGGCAGCTTTAGGTCCCAACATGGCTTCAGTCCTGCTCACTCCAACATTAGGAGGATTAAATGAGATAATATGTGCTAGGCAAGACAACACGGTGAGCGAAAGAATTTATTTGCTGACATTACTATTGGTATAAAAGCAAGGACTGTCTCCACTGGGTGCGCTTAGGGGACTGAACACAGATGGGAGGAGACCCCAGCCCAGCCTTGGCATGCAGGGAAGTTTGAGGAGCAGAGGAAAGAGCTCGAGGAACGAGGACCCACATGTGCAAAGGCCTTGGGGTGAAAGAAGCAGGAACCGAAGGTTTGAGGAAATGAGAGTCCAGTCTGAAGGTGGAGGTATGGGTGCAGGAAGGCGGGGGGGGGG